CCCCAAAACCCCAAAACCCCAAAACCCCAAAACCCCTTATACTATCCAAAAAATTGAATAAATCATAAAATTTAATAAAATCTTATTAATCTGTTAGTCTTCATCACTTTCATCCTTTTCTGTTTTGATGAAAGTAAATTGCTTCAGCCTGTTCACATTTTTATTGCTATCGTTGTAATCTTTGTCTATAAATTTGATTTGTTTCTGAGGCATTGAATTTAGATACTCATTTTCGAAAGGATCGATATCAGAGTCTCCATCTTGAAGAGTTAATGTGATAGGAGGGCTGATTTCTCCAGCTTCAAGCTTCTCCCAATCTATTCCTCTGAAGAAGTGATGGTTCTTTATATCCGTTTTATTCCTTACACCAATCCTTTGCTTTGGGTCTTTATGCAAGAGCTTTTTCAGCAAACTTCTAGCTGCAGGAGAAATATAATTTGGAATTTGGAGATTAGCTACCTTGATGTTTTCGTATAACTTTTTGATATTCTCTGTGTAATATGGAGGGAGACCAATAAGTAATTCATACAAAACTGCTCCAAGCTGATAGATATCTGCTGCTTTCCCAACTCCCCTTGTTCCCAGCATTTCAGGAGCTAGGTAAGCTGGGGATCCACAGAAGCTTTTTGCTTTCTTTCTGTCGCTAACTCCTTCTTTGGCTAATCCAAAGTCTGCCATTTTGATATGTCCATTGTCATAGACAAGGATGTTTTCTGGCTTGAGGTCTCTATATAGAATATCTTTGCTGTGAAGGTACTCCATTGCGAGGATCATCTCAGCAATGAAGAATCTAGCCTCATCTTCTTCAAAGATATGTTTGTTATTCAAATGAATTGCTAGATCCCCATTTGGGCAATAATCCAAGATCATGTATAGATAATCAGGAGTTTGGAAAGAGTAATGAAGCTTGATGATAAAAGGATGATCAGCTCTTTTGAGTACATTTCATTCAGTAATCGCATATTTTAGATGCTTATTTCTAGCTAAAACTGATTTTTTAAGAACTTTCATTGCATATATCTTTCCATCATCGATTTTCTCTACTTTGAATACTTTACCAAAAGTGCCTTGTCCAAGAATATCAAGGATTTTGAATGATTTGTACCCGATATCAAGGTCTTCGTCAAGAGTGCTAGTTTCAAGTTTCTTGATCGGAGTACGAGAATCAGGACTTGATCATTCTCTAGCCTGTACCTTTGGCTTTAAAGGAAGAAGAGATTTTGTTTCTTCAATACTTGCTCCAGAGCTAACTGGAGATCTTTTCTCTTTATTTGACGAGTGATCTGTAGAACCAACACTTGAAGTAAATAATCTTTCTAAACTCCCTCTCTCGTCTAAAATTCTTGTATCTAACTTGACATTAACTATCCCATTGTTAATTTTATCATACTTGTGGGAGAATTCTTTTCTGCATTTCGTTCCAACAAAGGCAATATTTTTCAACCAATGATAAAATATTTTAGCCTCTTTAAGTTCTTCTAGCCAAAAAGTAGCCAATTTTTGACTTTTGGAGAAGAAATATTGCTTATCTCCTTTGATATCTGCAATCTGGAAGTAGGTTCATCCTTTCTTGATGAACCATCCATCTGTGACTAATGATATATCGGCGATGTCTAGTAGATTCATAATCTGTCTAGGCTTGCGAGGGTAGTCTTTCACAGTTTTATATTTAATGAAAGTTCCATTTATCGGGTTCAGCTCAAAATACCTTTGTCTTGAGCTCATGAAATACTTTCCGACTCGGGATATAAACCCGCAAAATTTCTGGTTATTCTTAAATTGGTCAAGATTAGCAATCACTCTATCAAGGTATTCCTCTGTATATATAGATTCTTTGTTATATTGGGCTTCTAGGATCAGAGATTGTCTTGTTTCTTCGCAGACTTCTTCGTCTATCTTTTGGTCTTCCTCTTTCTCTTCTTTCTCTTCTTTCTCAACATCATATTTAAGAGTAACTTCAGCTGATTTATTTGTTCTTGTTATACTCTACTGAGTCCTCATTCTCTTCTAAGTCTTCCTTGATCTCTTCACGAGGGGAGTAAAGTTGTTCTGAGTTGTTCTTACCTTCTTGTTGGCACTTCTCTACTTTCTCAAACAGAGACAAGATATTAGCATCTTTACAGATGTCTTTTGGGGTCTTCCCATCTGCATTCTTTATGTATATGTCAACGTTATTCATTAAATAAATTTGCACAACTGCAAAGTGGTTTGCATTCACAGCTCAATGCAGTCCAGCTCCTCTTTCTGTGCTTCCGATTAAGTTGGGATCAACTTTTGAAGTTTTAAGAAGAAAATCTACTATTTGATGGAATCCAAGATGAGAAGCAATGTGCAAGGCACTCCATCCATCATCAGATAAAACATTTGGATCTCATCTCATTTTATCCACTAAATATTCTACAAGAGGAAGGTTTTGATACTGACAGGCTGCATGGATTCAAGTCCATCCATTAGGGCTTTTTGAATCAATAGTGATGTCTTGTTTTAAGTTCAAGTCTCTTAATTGCTTTTTAACTTGGTCAAATTCATTCTTAAAAACGGAAGGAGTGCAATCGAGTCTTATAGTCTTAATCAATTGATCAATAATCAAAGGAGTTTCATCATCTTCCTCCATACCAGATGTAAGTCTCTTCTTTTCTATTCCTAGCTTTAGGAAATATCTGGGATTACTTAATCCAGAAAATCTCTTTGAGACATCCTTAGTACTATCAGCCTTATGATGAATTATGCTTGAGCTTTGTTCATCATCTGAGGAGAATCCTTCACTAGGTATATGCACATCTGTCTGTTCTACATATACGATAGATCTGTTCTTCATCCCACACTGATTGAGTATTGCCTCTTCATGCTTAAGAGGAATAATATGGTTCATGTATTTCAAGGAAATAATCTGATCTTTTTCAGGAATCTTTAGCTTAAATGCTATTTTCTTCTTAAGATCAAGCACTGACAGATCCGAAGCAATGTTTAAGGCAACTTGAGAATGCTTCCCGTAATAGTCAAGCCCTTGATATTTTATAATAACTGTAATCTGATTGGTCTCCATTTTCCCCTGTTTTTAATAGATTCTATATAAAAGTTAGTCCTTGGGGTTTTGGGGTTTTGGGGTTTTGGGGTTTTGGGG